ATGCGCACGGGCCGGCTAGACACCCCCCCCATCCCACCCCGGGCTGCCCCTCAGCCCGAGTCCGAATCCGTGGAGATGGCGCCCCTCGGGGCGCGTCCCCGCCTCGCCCTCCCCCGCGCAGCCGGCGACCCCAGGACCTTGGCACGGCCCCCGTGGTCAGCCACTCACCGGAGCCTGCGGCCCACACCAGGACCAGGCAGCTCAGCTGGAGCAGCGCCCCGCGCAGCCGCCCCATGAGGAGACTCGAAGGCACCTGCAGAGAGACAGCGGGTCGGTTCGGGCCTGCCCTGTCTCCTGCGGGGGCCAGGCCGCCCCGGGGATCACTTCTGCACAGAGCTTCTCGGGTCTCCACACAGCAGTGTGGCTAGAGCACCAATGGCTATTCGATCTCGGGGTGCAGATAGCAAACGTAGCAAGACCTGATCGTACACCGGTGTCCAACCTCTCTACACCAGAAGACAGAGAAGCTGCGGCTGGAGGCTTCGCCTGTAATCCCAGCTGCTCAGGAGGCCGAGGATTCAAAGCCAGCCTGAGCAGGAAGGTCTGGGAGACTCTTATCTCCAATGAACCACCAAAAAGCTGGAAGTGGAGCCGTGGATCAATCGGTAAAACACCAGCCTTGAGCACAAAAGCTCAGGGACAGCACCGGGGCCCTAAGTTCAAGCGCCAAGACCAGCAAAACAAAACCAAAACCGGGGGAGTAAGCAGCCGGGCTCAACGGCCCAGCTACTGCTGAGCATGCACCCGGTCCCGCTGCCAGCAAGAGAGGAGGAAGCCAAAGGTGAGGGGAAAGGGAACCACGTGCCGCACAGAGTGCGTAGCCTCAATAAGTAAAGAGTTCTCACAAACAAATAGCACATCTTGAGGAAAAACAGGCCATCACACAGCCAGGACTGTGCCCAAGACACCTCAGCTCCAGAATCAACTTGCCTAACCCCTGCCAGGGCCTGAGCGTGGAAGCGAGCGCGGGCAGCGTGGCATTGATCTGTAAGATGTCTTTACATAGGAAGGCTCCACTGCCTTCCTGTGGTTTTGCCTTGGGGGGGGCGAGTGGTGAATGTGAAAGCTGCCGGGGTGCTGGCAGTGGAGGGGGGGGCTTGGAGCAGAGCCATTGGAAGCCTGCACGGCAGCTGTTCGGCCCTCCCAGCGCTCTGCCCTTCCTCTTGCACGCCTGCAGGACGGCCGTGCAGGCGGGACTGGCGAGCGGCCAGAAAAACAATGCTCCCAGCTGCATTTCCCAGAAATGGACAGACACAGGAGCGGCCTCACCCTGCCCGCTGAAGCCGGCCAGGCTGGGGCCCCCAAAATGTCCCAGTCCTGCCTGCTCACCCCTACCCGGCCCAGCCCGGACCCCCCCAGCTGCTCAGGAGGCAGAGACAGGAGGATCTCAGTCCAAGGCTGGGCCTCTCTGAAAAAGAACGAAAGCAAACAGGGCTAAGGGCACCCACCCAGAAAAACGCAAGGCCCCGAGTTCAAACTCCAGCAGCACCCAACACAAAAAAAAGGCTGCTGCAGGAGTCCCAGGCGACCCTGGCACTCAATGCAGGGCCGGGGTGCTCAGAGGGGCGGTGCGAAGGCAGTGTCCATAGGGCCGGCCAAGGAGTGGGTGTGGGGTGGTGAGACAAGGTCTTCAGTCATTCAGCCGACTCCTCCGGGCCCCCAGATGCTGCACCCATCCTCAGAAGATTCCAGATGCCTGAGGGCAGGGGGATGGAGCCTGAGGACCCCTGGCAGGACCGGGGCTTCCTGTCCCCAGCGCCTGTCCGGCAGTGGACTGTGCATCCAGGTGGCATCTGTTTATTGTCCAACACCCCATCCAGCCTTGGACGCCAGCGCGTAGCCAGGCCCCAGGGAGTTACAGCTGGCCCCAATTGCCCACGGATACTGGAGGAAAGGGGGGGGGGGACACTCAGGCTCCAGTCTGGAATGTTCCACCACTTGCTACTGGGTAAACACTGGCCAGGATCCAGATCTGGGCTGGGACCAGGCCGGGGCCCGCAGCTGGCACCGGGTCACCGAGTGGATTTCATCTCCCCGTGGCTGCAGTCCTGGGCCCCCACGTGCCCCCCCTGGGTCCCACCCTTCCTCAGCTGAGGGCAGCTTCCAGCCCTGCCTCAG